CATCGTGAGTTTGAGGGGAGATGTTAAATAATATTTATGTAATCTTATTTATTAAGGGTAGAATAGTATTTTCAGTTTAACCTATATATACTTTATATATATTTAGGTTAAGGTTAAACACTCATAATACTCAGATTATTCAGAATTGTAGCCTCCATTTTGTGTTTGATCTTAATTATTTTAATAGATACAATAGAAGTTTCTCCTAGTAGCTCAATTTTGAGGCATGTAGCACAAATGTACACAAGCTTAAGAAAATCCTGACAATATTGGGAGGTGATTTGTTTTCTTTTCCGATAAAAAAAATCTGAAAGCATGCAGGTCATCATCAACACATGATAAAGGAAAAAAACTCACTTTTCTTTCTCATGGGTTAAAACTAAAAGGTGAAAAAGCCCAACATGAACACCAAGTAAATACCTAGAATCATCAGCACCAACTCTTCCATATGCTATGATGATAGACTAGCAGTGCAAATCAAGGAAAAAAGGTCATGAACATATAATAAAGTCAAACTTGCAAGTCTAGAAATTTACTAAGAGAGTACAATATGAGGAACAATTCCACTAGCATTTCACAGGTTTATTTGGGATTGCTCTAAAAACATAAGCACTGTAATATACCATTTTTTCTTCTCTAATAATTAAAACACCATAGAAAGGCAGTGGCATTAGTATTAGTAAATTAGCACCATTGCCAAGATTGTTCTGCAACCACAGATCCTCAATAAAGTCTTTATCTTTCAAAACAGTCTCATATGTTTTAACATGACGAACATCCTTGTTATCCTATAATGATAAAAACAAAATAAAAAAAAAGCCATCTAAAGTTTCCTTCCCATAATAAGTGTATAGTTAAATAAAAAAAATTCACATTGACATGGATGTTTTGGATAACCAATTTCAGGCCACAACTACGAAAAAAGTGATCATTTTCATATAAAAGTTCTTGTCTGGTATTTCCATATGTATAATAAATTACCCAAAAAGTTGAAAAAATGGCATAATCCAAAGCAAGCAATAAGTGTGCATGCCTTAAAAGAACCAAAAAGAAATACAATGAAGTAAATAATTAAATTAAAAAAAGGCTACACTCTAAAATCTAGTGTCCAAGGACTCTAAAGATCAGCCAATGTAGTGAATAAGAATGAAAAGATATGAGGGATGCTGCCTGAATAATGCAGTACTACAGAAACTGCAAATGAAGTGTTTTAAGCAGGGGGGTATGGTTGCTTATTTGGAATATATCTATATGCTTTAAACTTTAATTTTCTAATGCAAAATGCCAATCATGCTCTAGGATATCCTTAAATAGCTAGGAAACTTAAAATTGTCATTTGATATGAGAAGAAAAAGTAGCTTTTTTATATCAATCACCACTTCAAATTTATCCACATGTATAAAAATGTTTAAAAGATTTGTTCATTAAAAAAAATACATTAGAAATGTCAAAGAATCATCTTAATCCAATAGTTTAAGCTGTTAGATTAGGTTTTAGAATATGATTTATATTATTCTCTAACACACCCCCTCAAGTGAAAGCCCTTTGGGCTTGAAACTTGCATATGCCCACATTACCTTGTGCTTAATTTTTATCAAATAAATAAGAAATGATGAGATTCAAACCCGTGACTATTTGGTCATCAAGGCTCTGATACATTGTCAAAGAACCATCTCAACCTAATAGCTTAAGCTGTTATATTAAGTTCCAGAATATGATTTATATTATTCTCTAATAAGAAAGAACTACATTGTGAATATAGGCCTACTAAAGGAAAACAGAGGACCTGGTAAAGAAAAACAATCATTGGTTTTGAATAACTACAGAGAAATTTGATATCCAAAACCTGAAGTTCTTTAAGCCTACAAAGAAGACACCACAAACAAATTATAGTATCAGCATATAGATAATGATAACATAAAATTCACCTATCCATTCAACATTACATCAAAACCAAATTCACATAAATAGAGACATAAGGAAAGAGGAAAGCTTTCTTTCTAGGAAACAACAATGTCTCAAAGCTAACTTCCATCATTCTAATATTTCTCCATTGCTGAAATTCAAATAGCCCTCATTCTAATTGTCACCGTAGATATATAAATCGACATATATGCTTGTAAACCTATATGTGTTTATAGATATTACAGTTTACAAGATTTACGAGGGGAAAGGGGTGTAAAAAATAATATAAAATCACCAAGCTGACCAATCTATGATTAGGATATTACTAAGCTAACCAATCTAGTGTTGCAAAAACTTGGTATCAGTTAAAGGATGTTGTTAATACACCACTGTTACTACTATAGCGGATTTCAACTACATGAAAATGCCTAAATCAATTTGGTGGCCTCTAGGCATCAAAAGATTCAAACCACAACAGTCACTCAAACCTTCTTAAAAAGATAAAAGAAAGCCAAGAGTGATTTTCATTTTCCTGTGCCTCCTACTTACATACCATGACAAAAAAGATGTTGCATATAAAACATGAGTTGCTCTTTTACTCGTTTTCTAATGCTGGGCATTTATCATGAAAACAACATGAGGGCTAGGGTACCTCAATCAATTGTATAAGTAAAAGAATTTATAGTGAGATCCAAAAAGTAAATTCAAATTAAAATAACACCTGACAAAAAAGTAAGTCGATATATATATAGCAATTTCTAAGAATGATATGGTTGCTACTTATTGCATGCATACACATGAACACAAACATGCAATGCATGTATATGGATTTGAAATATAGAATCTAGATCCAATACATATGACATCAATATCGCAGCCAAGATCTTTATAAGCAGCATCATTAATTCTTTTGATAGGTCATTGACAAATTTATCCATGAAAGTGATGTTGAGTAATTAGATAGGAGATTACATGTCTTATGTTAAAAGCCTTTTTGAGCTGTCCTTTATTATCAAAAGAAAAGCAACTAATAAAATTATTAATTGTTAATGCTTTTGATCACAATCTAGAGAAAAGTGTAGATAATACTAGCAAAACTCACTATCATGTTGAAAATTTAAAATGGAATATAGTTGGATAGCATGCCTTAAACAATCCATCATACAAGTGGAGTCCAATTAATCTAGAATCATGATCAATTATATCAATCTGCAGTAAGAAAGAAACCAAAAATATGAACTAGGCAGGACAAAATCCATTGCTATTTCCAATGAAAAGTGAAGGCACGCTTCTCCAGAATAGGGAACATAAGGAACTATTCTAAAAAATGATCCTAAAGCTTATATGAAAGGACATAAATACTCGCACTTTTAAGTACTAATCATAAAGCTTATATGAAAGGACATAAATACTTAATATGAACCTAGAACTATAAATAATTACCTAACCATTGTCTGTTAGGCAACTTGTCTGGTCTGATACATTCCTTCATTGCTCTATATGACAAGGTAAAGAAAGATTCAATACAAGAATAACATAGAAAATATCATCCAAATATTACAATAATTTTAGTTATTCATAAAGGCTTTTTACATCTAAAAACAAGAGAACTAGAAGATGTTTATATCGCTTGCTCAGCTAACTCTATTGCTTTTGGCTATATACAACTTCCTATGTTTTCTTATCTCAAAATTGACATAATAAGAAGTGGTTATTGATAAATTGTTGAGTGATTGGTTTGAAATTTCAAGATAGGCAATAATGTCCAAAGTATATTATGAGAAGTGATTTATTATAATGATAAAAAAAAATTTATAAATATTATTTTTTACTACACTAGCAAAATTCCTATGTAAGAATTATTATTTACCATATTGATGAGATTTAATATATGATCTGTTACCAATTAAAATGATGAAAATTATATGCAAGCCCACACAAAAATTAATGTTGCATACATACATACATACATACATATATATATAACATTAATTTTAACCGACGTTTGTGATAGCCAACAAATGAACATATATTATGTGGAAACTAATTACTCTAGTTAATAGGACTAGTATCCTGGTTAATGAGTAATTGAAGAAACTAGTTATCCTAATTAATGAGCAATTGGAGAAATTCGTTTCCTAGTTAATGAAATTAGTATTTTGGTTAATGAACAATTAAAGAAACCGATTAATTTGGTAATTGAATAAATGTTGTCTTGGACTAGAGATGACATTAGTATGTTTTTAAGTTATGCTAATTGTATTGATTTGTAAGGCTACAATTAAAATAATAAATTAATAGTTTAGTAATTGATGTGTCAAATATATAAAAGAGATAATATTAAATAATCATTGTATATAAAATCAATTATATTTAATGTTAAGAAAATATTAGGTACCTCGTAACATTATATTGAGTAGCAAATCATGATTGTAGTGTTGGATTGAGATATTTTATGAAGTATTAATAACTTGGTACGGTCCAAGTATAAGAAAAACTCAACCATAATTTTGGTAGAGTGTATATTATATAATTTTAAAAGATAATTATGCAACATTGTATCTAAATTATAATTTTTTATATAAAATAATAATAAATTATTTGGTTGAACAGTTGACAATAACAAGAACAAGAACAAGTAATAGAGTAAGGTGTATCTGAGTTTGATTGTGTTAACAAGTTAAGGATTGGGTATTAAATTAGCCCTACTAATAAAATTTAACAAAAAAAAATGATTTGAGCATGTCTTATAAGTATAAAAATAATGGAAGGTTAGACGATAAATTATAAATAATAAAAATAAACATGAGATAAGTGGAATAAATAATAAATCAAGAAAATTTCTTAATTTGATAAGGGTATTATATAGACTAAAGTACAATATATCTTAGATATAATAAATGCTAGGAAAGGAAAAGGATGATATGAATTAAATATATTGTGAATTAAATAATAGTGTGAATCAGATATGATTATACAATGAGTTATGATCTGGGTTAAAGATGGTCAAGAGACAAATAACTCATGCGATTTATATGTGTTGAGGAAATAAATTATAAGGTAAGTTTTGTGAGTTCTGAAATAACAATATTAATATAAATTAAATATATTTATGAAGTGAAAATGGTTATGAAATAATATCAACATGAAAAAGAATACTATATGAAAGTGTTTGCATAAGACCAATCAATTTTAAAACTATAAGGAATAAATTGTATAGTGAATAGTTAAATTATATTATGAATACAATAGTTGTCATGATGAAGGGTGATAATGTGATAAATAAAATGATGAAAATAAAATTTATTTAGCAATATAAAAAAATGTAAAATGTTGAAAATTTATCTTTAAGGTCAACATTCTTAAAGAAAAAAAATTAAAATTGATTTTGATTATATAATTATAAAATATTAATAATTGAGATTATGCAAATATTCAATATAATTTATTATGTCATTTTGTGCATGTCAAAAGTAGTTTTCTTTTAAAAAAATCCATATTTTAAGGTTATTAAGTTATTCAGTATTATATAGAAAAAATATTTGTACTTTTAAAAAATAAAACATTTATAAATAAATAATGGAAATGTAGTTTTAACCAAAGTTGTAATAAAGGTTGCTGAGGATTTTATATATATATATATATATATATATATATATATAACTTTACTTGAATCTTTACATGTATTTGGTCATTGAAATTAAATAAAAATACAAGTGAAAGTATGGGATGTTACACTTTTTTTTTCTCTCTCAAACTATAAACTAAAAAATAAAAATAAAATTGGATCAAAATTATATTTTATAAAAAATAAAAAGATTGAAAGTTTATACAAAATAAATAATAATATAAAAATTAAAAATAATTATAAAATTTCCTTTTTACACGTTACAGATCCTTACCTTTTAATCTATTTTATAAGGTAATATAATAATTTTATTACACATTCATTCTTTTTTTTTGTTATCATTCAATCATCATCATTTCATCATTAAACCCAATTTCCTTGAGAACATTACTAATTTTATTTCATATATGTTTTAATTGTCTTTTTTTTCTAATCATAAAATTTATTTTCTTTTAAATGTTAAAAAACTTATTCATTTGATTAAAAAATTTCTTCTTATACATTTTAATAACAATCACTATTTAATTAATTAAGTTTATTCAATTTATAAAAAAATAATTACTCTAATTCATTCTTTTTTTTATTGGTACAAATAATTAAATTATAAAAAAATAAGTGTATAATGATTTTATTGTTGAAGATGCATTGTTTATTCTCTCGCAAAATATTATAGATTGAAATAATCAATTTTTTTCTAAATTTTTAGGTTGGTTCTCGTTTGTTTACTAGAAAGTAGTTTTTTTTTTAAGTAAATTTCCAGGAAGGGAATTATTTTTTTATGTTTGGTAGTGTAATGGAAAATAAGTTGGAAAACATTTTCTAGCGTTAGTTATATCATGAAAAATGAGCTGGGAAATAACATATTAATGTTTTATTTTTCTCAAGTTTATTAAAATAATGAGGAATAAATCTTACAAATTAAAAAGTTGAATGAGAATAAAATTAAAAAAAATAATTTCATAAATTATCTCAAATAAAATAAATAATAATCAAAATAATAGAGATCAAATCTAAAAAATTAAAAAATTAAAGATAAAGAAATTAAAATAATAATAATGAACATTTCATAAATTATTGCAAATAAAATAAGTAGCAATCAAAAGAATGAGGATCAAATTTGATAAATAAAAAATTTCAATAAAAAAAGATAGGGAAAAAGCAAATAATAATTATAAAAATAAAGACCAAAATTAATATAAAAATTAAATTTTAAGAGATGAAATTGAAAAATAAAAATTGAAAACAACATATATATAGCAATCAAAAGTTTGAGAACTAAATTTGATATAATCAGCAAAAATATAAAATTTCTAAATTTTTCACAATTTTCATAAAGTGTTTTTCGTCTAAATTTTTCAAGAAAACACTTTTCTAGAAACCAAACTAAATTTTCCTTTGACTAGAAAGTATTTTCCGTTAACCAACTTTCCTAATGGCAAACAAATACTGGAAAGTTTGGAAAGTGATTTTCCAGAAAGTGAATTCTGGAAAATAAATGTAGCCTAAATCTTTTTGATGGCAAACAAATACAGAAAAGTTTGAAAAGTGATTTTCCAGAAAGTGAATTCTAGAAAATAAATGTAGCCTAAATCTTTTTGTCCTATAATTGAGTCATTCTCATCCCAAATTAATAACCAATCACGACTTCTCTAAAGAGATTATGAAATCGAAACATAGAGGATTAAAGTGAAAATATGAAAAAAATAGGTGACAACTTTGAATTTTATAAAAAAAATTATTTAGTCCCTTAATTTTTGAATAAGTGGTCTGTCCCTTTAGTTGTTAGAAACTTTATTGTGATACTAAACTCTATTTTTTTTTTCATTTCTTAGTCATTGTTTTTTGTAAGGATAGAAAGAGACATTTATTGAAATTCAATATAAAGAGAAGAAGTCATTATTGACAACTATTCTAAAGATGTAAATGATTGAAATCGGTGTTAACAAGATCTATTCAATGAGTGGAGTTCTATAATGTTTGTTTTGAGCTTTAATTTTGCTTAACAACAAGATCTAAGCCGAGAATAAGATATTCTATTTATGTTGATTTTTTGAGTCGATCTTTTTTTGCTTTATTAGGTTGATATGTCGGTTTATTGATGTTTTAAGAATGTTTGTAGAGTATTTTTGAGTTATATGTTTTAAAGTGGTTGTTTTGAGCTTCAATATTACTTAAAAAATCATATTTAAGTCGAGAATGAGAGATTTGATTCAAGATAATTTTGTGAGTTGACCTTTTTTATTTATTTATTTTGTTGACAACAATGTTGATTTGTTGATATTTTAATAGTGTTTGTAGAGTGTTTTTGAGTTAAAATAGATTTTTTAGGTAAAAACCCTATAAGACGAATTTTCAAGGCAACATTGTGGTGGGTGAATTATAGGATAGTTGATTAGTATTTAAAAGTGAATTTTTATCAAGATTTTATATTATCATTGTGCACTTGAAGTATCAATAACTCCTTAACTAAAGCATATTTTATAATAACATATCTAATAATATAATATATATTTAATTTATGGTAAATATTCATTTTAAATGTAGGCCTATCACATAAATTAAAGGATTGATTGATGAGTTTACGAACTGAAATTGAAAGGATAAAGAGATGACCAAACTTAGAAAAGAGTTGTCAGTATAGTCCAAACCAGAACACTGTTCAGTAATTTGGTCATATCTGGATCTGTAGATCTTGGATTTAGGTCTAATTTATATGAATGGAAAGTTAAGACATAGGTCTATAATTTTCATATGGGGCCTAATATTTAAAAAGGTTATTTTCAAGTCTAAATTATAGCAACAACAAAATCTGTTGTACAGCCCGAGTACTGTTCAGTATTTAACCCATATCTGGAGTTTTAGAAATCCAAAAGACCTACATGTTTTTTTTTGGAAAACCTGAGATAATTTTCTACAACGTTCATGTTTTCAAGTGGTTCTAATTCTGACGTTATCAATGACGTTTTGGGCAGACAATAGAAGATAAGGATTGTCACCAAGTTAAGAGTTGGCCACCCACTCATCAATTAATCATCAAACCAATATTTTCTAATTTTGGCTTATAAAAGAAGGCATTTGCCATGTATTTAGACATCTTGGTCTCTAGATCAAGATCATGGATTTTATTTCTCTTTTTGTATTGTTTAAGTTTTATTTTCATTAATATCTT